AGCAGAAGATTCTCTCAAGACACAAGTTGTGTGATAATAGTGTGTTTTGTGTGTGTGAATGAGAATTTGTAAATGCTGAATTCTAGGCTTTGACAATCATGGTCACCGCCCGGCTTGAATTTTGAAATTTCTAAAATAATCATTTATTTATTTAAAACAGTAAATTTCATACTTAAAAAGACATTGTTCAGCAAGCAGAAGAAGAGGCTGTGGTGTGATATTTTTAGATTAACGCTTCAAGAGGCAGTTTTCAAACAAGTGAACATTAGGTGTATGTTGAATATAAGGAACATTAGTAGGCACAGCTAGTCTTTTCTCCAATGGAGACAATATAGAGATCTATATTCAAATGATAAACCATCACTAAGCAAGTATTTCCAGGAGGCATACAAAAAGGAAAGCCCACCATACCTTGGCTATTATTCTCAGTTCACCGTGCATTCTTTCCCTCTTCTGGGCAACTCACCTGGCAAAGGGTAAAACTGGGAGCATAAAAAATAATTGTGACACGCCAGGTTTTTCTTAGGCCAGAGATCATTACCAGTCTTATCCCCATTATCCATCATGCATGGGGAATGGCGATCCGAGGAGACCAGGCATCCTGCCCAATTGGAGTGTTAGACTCTGGAGGAAAGGTGCCGTTTACTGCTGCCTCAGGTTAGAACCAGACCTCTCCTCAGAGACAGTTCCCGGGGACAGAGTTCTGAAGTCACCACCAGAGCGGTGACAGGAGTCCCATGGAAACACGCGAGGCGCCACATACATTTAGGCGCAGTCTTAAGCCACAACTCCACATTAACCAGCTATCAGAATGTATGACAGACGACCCACAAAGTCCATTCGGCGCTCTGTGCCCGCCCAGTGCCAGGGCTCCGGCTCGCACGGGGCTCGAATGAAGCCCTTCCAGTCGCCCGAGGTCGGAACCTGCAGCACCTAACAGACACCACACCGTACAAAGCCAGACTCTCTCTGCCTCACGATCTAAGGAACCCGCCAGGCAAGTGCAAACGCCCGAATTCCTGCGAGAGGCGGGTCGGGCCGCTCGGCTTTCTGGGAGATGTAGTCCACAAAGGTGCCCCCAGCGCCTCCTCTGGCTGCTCCCGCAGCCGTTCAAGTCCAGCGCAGCCGCGCTGCCAGCGTCACCATACCGGGGCGCTGAAGGGCTCGGCCACGCGGGCGGCCCCGGCCAGCTCTCGGGTCCCTCACACAGGAAACGCAGCCCGAGGGCTGACCGGAAGTGGGGTCGGGCCGCGCGGCCTTCTGGGAGCATCTGTGCTCCGGGACATAACGGACGCGCGCTACCGCTTGGGTCTATGGACCTGTCTGTGGGTCGCCTGCATGCGGTGTCTCTGAAGTCGCGTTTCGGGGGTTTGCGGCCGGTGGCGCTGCCGGGACCCCTGCGCAGGAAGCGAGGGGGGCGCCGAGCGATCCGGTTTGCGCCGGCCGTGGGCTGCGGACTGAGCGCGGGCTCTCAGGAGGCTCGGAGTACCCGAGTTACAGTCGTGGTGCGGAGCGCTCTCGGCCGGAGCACCTGACTTGTGGATGTTTGGAGTTGCAACCAGAAAACTGGTGAGAGTTAATGTGTAATTCTAATGATTTTGAGGGGCGTCGTCGTGTGGGTGTGGGCGTTGTGTCATGGAGATGTTGGGTGGTTTGTGAGTGAGCAAGGGTGTGGTGAGTGCGAGGGTCGTGTAGCGTGTGTGATTGTACCGTGTACTGGTTCTTGGCTCTCGGGTCTGTAGCATGTGGCATAACTAGTAACTAAGAAAAAATTACTTTTTTTATTTTTTTTAAGGATTCCTCCTTCATTGGCCCTTCCGCGTTGGTCTTTCCTCGCCCCAACACTTTGTTCTCTAACTTTTCAGTTTTTCTTTTTATAACTTTCCAAGTTCATTATTATCTAATGGCTTACTTGGCTTATTTATTTATTTATTTATTTATTTATTTATTTGTTTGTTTGTTTATTTAAGTTTGCAGTGTTGGGATCAGCCTAGCGCTTCATTTATGCCAGGCAAAAGCTCTGAGCTACATTCCTAGCCCTGAAATTAGTTTAATAATGGCTTTAAAAAAATTTAAAAAAACATCCCTAAGCTCAGTAGCCAACATCAGCTTGGATTCATTCTCTAATTCATGTTAGCAGATCCACTGCATTTGGCTGATCCCGGCTGCATTTGGTTGAATCTCAGAGCAGTAGGATGCATTCAGATCTGCCCTCCATTTGTTTCTTCTGGGCCTCTGGTTAAAAAGAACTGGTTCCGAAGACGCTTTCTTTTTTGTCATTGAGTTACTGAATCATTCAAGGGCTCTGCTTCCAAATGTGTCCGCATTACATTAGCCAAAGAAAAGTTGGGTGGGTAAGCTTGTAATCCACTTATAGTTTGAAGATGGGGCAGTGTTACCGAAATAACTGTTTGCCACATGAAGACACATCCGTCTTAATTCTGGGGGCTACCTTTCAGTGCAAGTGTTCTTGCTTGGTAATACTGCTTTCTCTCTCCTTTTAAAATTGTATTTGTCGGGAATTTTATATTCCAAACCCTTTGTCTTTTTGTCTCAGGTTTCTCATGAGAATAGTATCAGCTGAGCTTTTTAACTCATTTATCCGGTGTGACTGTTAATAGGTGAGTTTAATTCTGTTTTATTTATCATAATTACTGAAAAATGTTTTTATTATTTACATTTACCTTACCTCCTTTTATTTCCTCACTGGCTTGGTTTGTGTTCTTGTCTCTGTAGTCTTAACAAAACCTAAACTTAAATAAGACATTTAAATGCTTGAACACCAAGCTAGGTAGCCATCTCTTTCTGTTATTCTTGGGTAGTACATTACTTTCTCCTCCTTTAAAATTCTCAAGCCGTGAGGTAATCCTAGCACCCTGGAGGCTAGAGGAGGAATTCACATTCAAGGCTACTTGAGGCTAATCCATGGTACAGTGAGAGAGAGACTGTCTCAGAACACTAGGGAAAGGGGAAGGGGTTATCCCAGATGTATGTTCTTGAAATTGTGGTAAATACACAATATAAAATTCATCATATTAATATTTAATCATATAATTCAGTAACATAAAGTACATTTACATGTTATATTTTCATCCTCACTCCCCACATACTGTTTTCATATTAGAAAATAAAAATTTGATATCCTTTAAACAATAATTCCCTGTTTCCTCATTCCTCCCAGATACAGTACCACTATTCTACTTTCTGTGTCTAAATTTAAGAATTCCAAGTATTTAATGTAAGAAGACCTGTACTGTAGTTGTCCTTTTGTAACTGGTTTAATTAACATAAAGTCCTCGACATTCTTCTGGATTAGTCGTGTCAGAATTTTCTTCTAAGCCTAAATAATGTGTTGTGCATGAATAACTATTTTTAATCTCTTCATGAATCTGTGAATACATGTATCCATTACTACTTGGCTGTTGCAAATGACGCTGCTATAAACATAAAGATACAAAGAATCTGATGCTTGCTTTTAGTCACATTGAGTGTTATACACAAGGGGAGGATTGCTTGGTTTTTTTATTGGTTACTCTATTTTTTTAGTTTTTTTTTTATTACCATACTTGTAATGGCTACATATCTTATTTTTTAATTACCTATCATTGACAAAATTAGAAGTAAATTCCTGTTTTCAAGAGGTTTATATTGGAAAGACAATGGGTAGATACTATAATATAAATTATACCACTTTTTAGAATTTGAGAATTGTGGAATAAAAAGTAAACATGTAAACTGGGTGGATGTAGTTTAAGGCCAGCCTGAACTACATAGTAACTTACAGGCCAGCTTGGCTTGCAGAGTAAGACCTTGATTTAAAAAACAAAAGCAACCATATGAAGGATATTAGGAATGTATCTCAAGCATAACACAAAGCTTCATTAAAACAATCTTTTCTGCTTTATTAGTTTTATCATACTGAACAAAGGTGCATTCACTTTTTTCTATTTTTTTCTTAGTAAAGGCTCATAGATGGTAAACTGATGTAATTTAGTAGCCATTTCATTTATTTATATCTAGTATCATGTGACAAGGTTATGATTTTTACTTCAAATGAAAAACCTTGAAATTCTAAATTACAATGCGCTTTTACCTAAATTTCTGGAGTTTCGGTGTCTCTGTTGAGTACTTCACTTTAGCCCGAGGTACTGAGTCTGGCTTTGGTCCCTGAGCCCGCCTGGTTTCCACCCAGTATCTCTAGCCAGTGACTCCGAGATGTGGTTGCAACAAGGAAGTGAGTGTTGGGGGCGGTATTCGTTATCTCCTGGTATGCATTCCATTGTCTGAAAACGGAATGCTTAAACAGCAGTTATCTACTGCAAAATGTTGACCACTGGGGCTGTCTCTGAGGCTGGCTATGACAAAGCCTGTGAGAATGCATGAGGCAAATTTGTTTTCTGGTCTAAACCTACAGGACCTACCTCCCCCTACACTAAGACAGATCTGTGGTGTGAGTTTGAAGCCTGAGAACGGGTGTCTGACATGGAAGGAGATCTTCTGACCTGAGACCCACACCAGAAGCTCGGGAGTCCTGGGCAGGGGTGGACTCTGCGCCTACAGACCATCTTGACCAGTCCTTCCCAGAGCCGGCAAGATCCAAATGACATCTCAATCTTGAAATACCAGCGACAGCTGTGCAACATGGAGCGGTTGACCCAGACTGTGTGGAGAAGAGGTGAGGGCAAGAGCAGAGTGTGGGTCCTTGGGAAATGTGAGAGCTTGGAAGGCTTGATGCTCCTGTCATGGAAGTTCACTGACTATACAGGATAGACATTTTATTTTGTTAATTTGACTGATTTTTTTAAATTTTATATTTATTTATTTTGTGTGTTTGTATCTATACATGTGTATGTATGTAGGCTCAGGCATGCCACAGAGCATGTGTGGAGGCCAGAGGACAACTTGCAGGTATTGGCTCTCTCCTAGGAATGAAACTCAGGTTGTCAGGCTTGAAGGCAGGTACCTTCACATACAGAGCCATCTTATTGGCTCATCCTTTCTTAGAGAATATATTTTAATATATTTTTTAAAATGGTGTTATAAACTAGAAAGAGGTGTTTCCTGTTTCATTCCTACTTCTCAGCTACAGCCACTTGAACATTTTTATCTGGGTATTCATTGCCATTTTTCTGAATAACATATATATGGCTAATTTTTGATTTATCAGATTTTTACAGTTTGTATTATTCGGGTCAGGACTTTTCTCTTTCTTAAAGAAATGCTGTATTGCTATGTAGCCAGTTGGGTCATTGGACAATTTATTAACCTCCTGAAATTACATCAGACCGCATGTGTAAGTTTAGTTCTGCTCATACATTTGTCTGGAGTCTCTGGAGATTGATGTGGTACTTAACATTTCTCATGGTGCTGAGGATCAAGTTTCTAGAGGATCTTAGAGCATCTGGTCATAAAGCTCTGCACATTCCTTTGTCTGGAATTCTGAGCAAATCTTTTTTGCTTCTTCTCTTTCCTCAGCTTGGTGTTCCCAGGACTCTGCACTTTGCCAGGAAGAAGAGGACATGAGCAGACCCTTTGTACGTCCTAAACATAGTTTTTCCCTGCATTGTTTTGCAGTGCAGTTGTTGTGGGTTACTATAATCTACTGCTGAGCTGGGAAAAAATGAAATGAAAGGAAAAAAAGCTTTAAAAGAATGAGAGCCAGGGGAAAGGAAGTACGGCTGTGAAGAAATAAGTGCTGTAGAATTAACTGGTTGGGTCAAAGTTGAATGTTATCTAGACAGTCAAAGCAAACAGATGTAAAATCCATTCCATAACTTGTAGTTTCTGAAGAAAAAAAACTAAGGAAAGCAAAAGCTTCTTGTTGACACTGAAACCAATTCTAAAAAAAAAAAAAAAATCTAAAATAGTTCCATAATTTTTTTTTTTAAGCTCAATTTTTACAAGTCAGTCTTGGCCAAAGAAAAGTTATGTAGAATAGTATGTGGAGCATGCATGTCTCTTTGGAACAGTCCTACTCAAATGTTTGTTTGTTTTTCAGTTTCAGCTTTTGGTAGCAAGTTAAACTAAATGATGTGGATATTCTGTGGCATCCTTGCGGTTCTGTTGTTTGTAGCCTTCCAACTCTTTATCTTTAATGATCTTAGGAGATGCAGTATTCTCTTGTTTGTTTTTGAGATGAGGTCTCGCTAGGTAGCCTTGATTTGTCTGGAGCTTGCTTTGGAGACCAGGCTGGCCTCAAACTTAGCAGGGCTCCTCCACCTGCCTCTGCTGCTCAAGTGCTGGGATTAAAAGCACATGCCACCATACCTTGCCAGAATTCTTTCTTAAAGCAACCTTTATTTTATTTATTTGGGGGGAGGCAATGTGTGTGCCGTTATGTAAGTGTGGAGGTCAGAGGACACTCGTTGGAGTCAGTTCCCTCCTTCCACCATACGGACCCCAGGGACTGAACTCAGACCATCAGGGTTGGTATCAAGAGCCTTTACCCACTGAGCCGTCTCGCTGGCTCAGTGCCTTGTTCTTTTCTTGAGTCTTTCTGTTTCTATATTTGAAGTCGTTCATCTTGTATTTTGAACATTTTTTATCTTGGCTGCCTTCTTCAGCTCTCATCATCATGAAGCAGACACACTCTTTGCTGTATGATCTAGAGCAGTGGTTCTCAACCTTCCCAATGCTGCCGTCCTTCAATACAGTTCCTCATGGTGTGGTGACCCCAACCATGAGATGATTTTTGTTGCTACTTCGTAACTGCCATTTTGCTCCTGTTATGAATCATAGTTTAAATATCTGTGTTTCCCAATGGTTTTAGGTGACCCCTGAGAAAGGGTCATTCAACCCCCAAAATGGTCACAGATCACAGGTTGAGAACCACTGATCTAATGGTTCATGAGACTTTTTTCTCCTGTTGGCATAGTGTTTCTTTAGCCCTAAACAGACTTAAAGTTCAAATTTTGACTGGTGACTGACTATAAATGCATGACAATGGATGGAGAAGTCTCTTACTTTCTTTGTGCCCCAGTTTCATAATCTAAACTGGGGATAGTAATGAACTCATCCCATAAGAATGTCAGGGTGTCAAGGGTACCAGTGCTCCATAGTTGACTGGCACTGCTTACTCTTTTTAGCTATGGAGTCTCTCCTTTCTGAGCTGCTCCTTGGATGTGCTGATTCTGTTCAGTACTTCAGTATAACCTAGAAGAGAAAGGAGGAGATTGACTGACCTGGGTCACTTCTTCAGTAAAACCTCCGTAACTGTTGTGAGAGGGCAAAGCTAGGGTGTGTATATACATGTATTTGCACAATGGAGACTGTGGGGGTCCAGCCCTCAACAGTCCCCTCCCATGGACAGAATCTACAATCAGCTGATAATTTAATCTTGACGATACCAAATGACTCTACATACACGATATTCTTTAGTCCATACATTTTATTCTTCTGAGTCAGTTTTCTCTACACAGCTTCTACTCTGCTCTCATGCCTAGCTCCTCTCTTACCTGATTTCTCTCTATATTTATCTACTGTCCCCTCTAAGTTCTATCTTAATTCTTTCATCTTAGTTCTGCCCCATCTAGGTTCTCATCCATCTAGTTCTTTCCATCTTACTATCCCATCTCCTTCTCTCTCATCTTGTTCTTCCCCATCGGACTCTTCCTCATCTTCCATCTCGTTCCTCTAGTACTCTCTTCTAGCCCTTCAATCCAGTTCTTACCCATCTAGTTCTTCCATTGTGTTTTTCTCTTCTCCGTCTAGTTCCTCTCTGAAAATAAAACTGCCTTTTTATCCCATTGACCCTTATCTCTCCAAGCTATCTCTGCTCCCACCATTTCTGGCAAGTGTGCTCGGTCACTAGGCAACTTGGCTGGGCAACTTCTGTCGCAGGTAGATGGACCTGTAAGTTGGAACCCTTTAGTTCTGAGTTAATTGTTAAGGGTGAATCTAAAACTAGAGATAAGACTTTGGAACGGAGAAAGTTAAGCTTAATTAGCACATCTGCCAGGCCTTCTCAAACAGATAGTCTGGATGCTTAAGTCTGTTCTTAGAGAGTGCAGAGGTATCTCTGATAAGATACTTTCGTCCGTCTGGGGAAGATCCTGGCCAGATGCTGCTGGTGAGATAATGACAGAAAGGCCTGAAATTAGGGATCCTGGCTGCGTTACTGCACAGAAGGTTATCCAAATAGTCCTTTAGTGGAGGGGAAATTGTGCCCAGTGAATGATGGAAAAGCTACAATAGCACACAAGAAATTCATAGCAGGAAACGGCTGATAATCAAAAGCCAAATATCACCAAGACTCCTTGAGCCTCAGCTTGACCTCTGGAAGGGCCTGGATTCTTCCAGGTATTAGCTTGTCATAATCAGCTGAAATCCTACTTCATATATTTTTGCAGCTTGCAGCATTTACACACACATATTGGAAAAACCTCCATACCTGTTATGAGAAGGCAAAGCTAGGAATTTTTTTTAATATCTATGTACATACATGTATTTACACATATATATCAGGAACACACTAATTCTCAAAAATCAATAATTAAGAAAATAATAAATTGGATAAAGAACATGAAGAATTAAAGGAAATACAGATGACCAACAAAACCCTTAAAATTATGTTATAAAAAGACAATTTAGGCCAGGCAGTGGTAGCGCACACCTTTAATCCCAGCACTTGGGAAGCAGAGACAGGCGGATCTCTAAGTTTGAAACCAGCCTCATCTACAGAGCAAGTTCCAGGACAGCCAGGGATACACAGGGAAACCCTGTCTTGAAAAACAAAACAAAACCTAACAAACAAGACAATTTAGTAGAAGCAGTTTTTATATATATTTCCAATTAATGAACAGTGACCAGTTTCAAACTCATTATAGAATCAGGATATAGATGTTGTCCATGGCAGTTCTTAACTGTGTATGAATAGATTACATACCAGTTAGAAGAATCCTCTTCTAACTTTCCTCTACAGGACTGTGTATCATAGCTTTATGACTGTTGTGTTCTAGATTATTCTACTATAAGCTTTGTATAGCTTAATTCATGCAGCCATTATCAGAAGGCTGTGACATAGATGTTATTTTAATTTTTAAAGATACAGGAAGTAAAAACAGGGTTAAGAAGCTTATACAATCAGGTATCACTGTGTAATGAACTCAGGGTTCAAACCCTCACAATTTGATTCTAGTACCCACACTCTGGTGTGGCCCTGCATAAAGAAGTGCACAGTTTTGCCATTTGGCTTATCCCTATCATTTGTCCTTTTTATTTGTACCTTAGTGAGTCTGTGTTTTATTAGGTTAAAAGCCCTGTTACTTGCTATTAATCTGGATTTTTTGTATATGTATATAAAGGGAGTTGATGCATTAAAGAAAACAGAGTAAGTTGTAACGCACTGATTGCATGTCTTACACAGTGAGGTTGATAAAGTGCTCTCCTAGCATGCACAGAGAGAGCCCTGTATTGGTCCCAGCCCTGCTGCATGAACTAGGTGTAGAGGCTCCTGGAGGATCAGAAAGTCGAGATCATCCTTGACCATAGAGCAAGTCTCGGGGCAGCCTGGTCTATTTCCTTTTAAGTCTCTGTCATTTGCTTTTACTTTTTGTCAGAGTTGCTGTTTTTTATGGGATTTACTAATTTATTATTTATTAGAGCCACTGGGAAAGAATTGTGGGTTTTTTTGTTTTTGTTTTTGTTTTTTGTAAATACCTTTTTGTGGTTTCTATTCCAGAGGGTGATCCGTTTCTAATTCTAAAACCTTCATTGAATGGTTGAGAGCGGTGCTGCTCTACAGATAAGGAAACTAAGAGGCTCACATTTGCTATTTGTCAAGGTTACATGGTCAACTCTAAGCCAGGGTTGGGCTTACAGTATCGGACAGAACACAGAGCATTGTTATTAATCACTAAGAACATCTAAACCCGGCTTCATTTCAGTATCTTACTACCTTGAGATTGGGTTTGCAGCCAAGAATGTGTCAGTTATCTATCTTACATGCTTTGGGTTTTTTGTTTTGTTTTGTTTTTGTTTGTTTGTTTTTGTTAAGTGGTATAACACACATTTATTGTCCTTCCTAGGGTCCCTGGTTAACTGCTTGGGCACCTCTGCTTGGAGGTTGATGTGGGCTGTGCAGTGAGCTCAGGGCTGCTCTGTGTGCTCTGAGGTTTGGATGGCAGGGCTGCAGCTCCCTGGGCCGGGTTAAAGGGCGGAATCATGTTTGAGTGTTTGCTCACTGTGCACTAACATTCCTCCTGCCTCAGCACATGGCTGGGATGAGCCCACATTAGTAGATGGGACGTTAGGTTAGGTAAGCAGAGTGTGAGGAATACATACTCAGTAGTCAGTTTATCGTGTAGCATCAGAAAGGAGCTGTTGTAGTGCTGTATCAAACCCAAGTCCTCAGGCATGTTACACAACATCCTCAGCTCATGAAATTGTTTTATACTGAGATTTAAAGAATCCTGAACATAGAGAATGTAATTTCATAACTTAAAAAAGAACTTTGACATATAAGTTACATGTCATAAAATTACCTCTTTTTTTTGTTGTATTCATAGCCATAAGCATATTGTTAGAACATTTTTAT